GTCAGTAAAACGTGCGCATGCCATGAATCACAAGAAGAATTATGCATTCTCTAGGCTATAACAGAGCACGGCGTATGAGCTTCAAAAGCAAGAAATATAAATATTTGTTACTCTTAATTTTGGTTTCATTTATTCTTGAAACAGACCACTTTCGGGGACCCTGAGGATGTACCTCTAGTTTATTAGGATCATATATATATATGAATTTCAAATAGTTCAAATCCAAGAGTTAAAGTTATCAATTATTTTGGGGCCTGGACACGCTAAAAGAATAACAGTCAAATCTCACTATTCGTTCAGACAAGAGCAGTCGAAGAATTGGCGGTGGGGGCTGCTCACTAAATGTCTCCCCTATAGTCAACTAGTTCAAATTTAGATACATCTATGCGCAGATAAACCTTCTGAATACAGCTTTGCGCGAAAATTCTCAAACAAAGAAATAAAACACCAAACTTGTTATTTATTCTTTTAAACTCGTAACTTGGGTTTTACATATTAAATTACACAGTACACAGCATTTACAACATGGTATTAAAGTGTAAACTCCTTAGCCGAACCTCGTGCAGTTTGACCGTTCATAACAACTCAATGGAATAATCCCATACGTTACAGAAAAGAGGTGATCCTCACAGTAAGGCTTAGTTTATTTCCCTAAGGCAGTACACATTCTAACGATTTAAAATGTACTATGTTTTTTGTGGACATCAAATATAGCAAAGCAATCGATAGGAAATGACATTTTGCATAAAATCAAATAAAACTTTTCTTGTCAACACAACAGCTACTTGGGCAGACAACAAAGTATTAAAGAAACACATAAGTGTTAGTTGTTTAACATCATAACTCTAATCAGGCTGAATTACGTATTATCGGAGAGTGCACTAGCACTGGCTATGTAGGGATGGCACAGACGCTTGTATTAAAGCAATACAAAAGTCATCTGGATTTTGTCATCAGAAGCTAGATATGAAAACCTACCTGTCATAATCGCTCTGTCTCCGGTGTATATGCCGCTTTTCAGCTATTCAGAGCGTCCCAAGGTCAAAAACCGGTGAATAGCTAATACTGAGATTTCTTATTTTCGTTCATCACCATCTTTCTTTAATAGGCCTAGCGCCTATCTAGTTTCATCAGTAACTATTATTTTATTGTAATTTGATAGAGAAAAACAGTCTTCACGATCTTTGAGTACCTATTTTATTATTATTCTACACAAAGTTTATAAAGCTTTAGTATACATTCTATAATCTAGTAACCCACGTACGCCATCTTATAAAAAGTAAACAAACAAGTATAAGGAAAACAAATATTCCTAAATAAAAAAGCTTGGTAAGGCTGGCTACTGACTTTGAAAAAAAGATAGGGATGGAAGTGGACATATCACTTGATCAGCTAATGATCACATAGCAGAATAAGCTGTCTAGACTTTACATGGAGAATCAAGTCCTTACATTATTGGCTTCTTCACTGGCAAAACAAATATAACCAGAATTTCCAATCGTAAAATGATACTTTGTTGTAAAATAGTCATAAAAGTAGTATTCTAAAGTTAACTAAAAGAAGGGTATAATGATGAAAGCTGAGATTCTATTCAAACATCAAGATTTTGATGGACAAAGTGGGGAAGCCAGTAATATATGAATTTTATTCTCCATTTAAAGTCCTTGATCTGTATAACGTTATTTAATAATAAAGTGTATGACATGCCAGTCCTTGGTCTGTATAACGTTCTTTAATAATAAAGTGTATGACATGCCAGTCCTTGGTCTGTATAACGTTCTTTAATAATAAAGTGTATGACATGCCAGTCCTTGGTCTGTATAACGTTATTTAATAATAAAGTGTATGACATATCAGTCCTTGGTCTGTGTAAAGTCTACTACAGGTTTTTCTTGAACCATTTATTACGGACATATAAAACTTAAAAAAAGTTCTAGAAGCAGATTTAAATAAAAAAAATTCCATACCAATATTTTTTACCACTGTTGAAAGGAAATACGTACATATTTTTAACAGACTCCGTCTTTATATTGGACAAATATTTTGTAGATGTCCCGTGTGTCAGGATACATAGATCTAATCAAAACCGCTTTGGGGCATGATGGTGGGTAAAACAAAAAACGCGGCTTAGCTGACTAATGAATGAAGATTTGCTGTAAAATTCTTATCAATGCTATAAGTGTAGCTACCAGTTTGGCCGCCAATTTTGATTTCGTTCCTTTAAGTCTCACACTCAATCATTTTTTGGACGCACCTTTTTTTCACATCTAAGATGTTTTCATTGGATAGCATGACTTTCTGTCAATACACACCAACAAACCACACCAAATAAGAAGTTAACATTCTATAGTAACCAATATTAGCTTTAGGATTCCAACTCTGTTATTCGGAACAGACCTTTACTTTACAGAACCAACCAGATATTTTTCCTCTCTAAACCAGTGTTAATAGCTTCCTTTATAGTAAAGCCGTGGAATTTAGATTAACAGTTGCTTGTCATCACCTGCATGCAATCGATACAGCCGTAGCAAGCATCATTATTAATGGTAATTGCTCAAGCTAATATCACATGACGATAAACGCTTTTTAATTAGGATAATTTCATAAAATTTAGTAAATTTGTGTTGAAAAGTTGGCAATGAATAATCAGTTGTAACTGTCCACTAGAAACTGCTAATCTAATTTGCTTAGCCTAACCAATACTTATGTACCTGCACGTCCTTTCACCCTATAGTTTTGCCACTCTAAGTCAGTCAGCTTTAATTCGAATGACAAAAAACTAAAAACGATCCACCTTTACTCTTAGGTGAAGCTGTAGAAAAAAACTTTACACCGATATCTCACGTGTGCAAAAATTTTCGTCAAATTTGAGCGGTTTTTGTTGAATAACTTTGCACATATGTCTTATATTTATACCAAATGAAACTCATAATTGTAGGTTGTAAAGATCTACCAATGTACCAAATTTGAGAAAAATCCATAATAAATGTTTTTTATCAAATAAAGTTTCCGTACTTTTGGTGCGAAGAAGGGGGGGAGGGGGAGAAAGAAACTCAACTAAAATTTGAGATGTTATATCTCAGGTATTTATTATTGGATTGTCTTGAAATTTGGTATGTGAAGTAAGAGTCCAGTAGAGCACATCAACTGAAAATATGTGAAAATAGTTTGGATTACCACAGTCCGAGATACAGAAGATGGAAAATCGCTAAACTATCACTCCTGTTAATAACACACAATGTTTGTTTGTTTGTTTTGAATTTCGCGCAAAGCTACACGAGGGCTATCTGCGCTAGTCGTACCTATTTTAGCAGTGTGAGACTAGAGGGAAGGCAGCTAGTCATCACCACCCACCGCCAACTCTTGGGCTACTCTTTTACCAACGAATAGTGGGATTGACCGTCACATTATAACGCCCCCACGGCTGAAGGGGCGAGCATGTTTGGTGTAACGGGGATTCGAACCCGCGACCCGCAGATTGCAAGTCGAGCGCCCTAACTACCTGGCCATGCCGGGCCAACACACAGTGTGTCCTGCAGCAGGTTGTTTAGGCCGCACGACGCACTACTGTGTGTCTTGAAAGTTTCGGTTAAAAGTGGATTGTTATGAAAACTTGGTACTTTCAGAAAGCTGGTAAGGTCATAATTTGTATAGAAATTCGAAGAGCAGGAGAAATTAAATTATTACGTATATTTATGACATAGATGTAAGCGTAATATTGTTTGATTTAGTGGAACAAGAAGCGTTAGCCAAGGAAAATGGAGCACATTTTGATTGCATTTTGTATTGCATAATTTTAAATATGTCAACATGAATGTTGGTTTGTTTTTCAGTAGGCGTGATTTGTAGAACCCGTTCTATGAAAGTTTGATCTTAATATTAGTGTTAGTTATTAAAGAAATTACTAAGTCAGATAATAGTTTAAGTTTATTGAAAACTAACAATTTTTTATACTTATCATGGACCTATTTGTGAAAAGTTTCCTTTTATATTTGTTCAGGTTAACCTGATACTGACTCCCTCAATGTTCTAGTATCTTATGACGCAGTAAACTAAATAAACACGTCGCACCAGGCACTGATCGTTGTACCAACAAAGCTGCATCAGCCAGAGGAAAAACAAAAACAAAAAAAAAACCTACAACGGTACGTAACGGAATATTGCTAAAGGACATCGTGTCATATTGATAATTAAACTAGCAAATCATGACGTAACGGAATATTGCTAAAGGACATCGTGTCATATTGATAATTAAACTAGCAAATCATGACGTAACGGAATATTGCTAAAGGACATCGTGTCATATTGGTAATTAAACCAGTAAATCATGGAACGGAATATTGCTAAAGGACATCGTGTCATATTGGTAATTAAACCAGTAAATCATGGAACGGAATATTGCTAAAGGACATCGTGTCATATCGGTAATTAAACCAGTAAATCATGGAACGGAATATTGCTAAAGGACATCGTGTCATATTGGTAATTAAACCAGCAAATCATGACGTAACGGAATATTGCTAAAGGACATCGTGTCATATTGATAATTAAACCAGCAAATCATGAAACGGAATATTGCTAAAGGACATCGTGTCATATTGGTAATTAAACCAGCAAATCATGACGTAACGGAATATTGCTAAAGGACATATTACTGGGTATTGATAGTTAAACCAATAAATCACGACGTGACGTGACAATAAGTCTGATCATATGGATTGTATTACAATCCTGTATTCTACATTGAAGAACTGGGGATTAGGTGTATTACAATCCTGTATTTTACATTGAAGAACTGGATGATTAGTTATATTACAATCCTGTATTCTACATTGAAGAACTGGGGATTAGGTGTATTACAATCCTGTATTTTACATTGAAGAACTGGATGATTAGTTATATTACAATCCTGTATTCTACATTGAAGAACTGGGGGATTAGTTGTATTACAATCCTGTATTTTACATTGAAGAACTGAGGGATTAGTTGTATTACAATCTTGTATTCTACATTGAAGAACTGAGTGATCTATTCGTTCAGTGGCACGTGCACTACCAATATCAGAAATGTTAGCTGTTTGTCTTCGTTAGTTTTCCTAGACACAAATATCAGCACAGAGAAAGGCGTACTACTTTACATGTCGGAAGGAAATAACAGTTTTGTTTGGAAGCGTCACTGAACTCTGCCAATCACGTGCTCGTTACGTTTCGGACATAGACCCTTCCCCATTTTCCAAGTTCAGAGGTTGTGTTATCTTTTTACATGGTGACTCTTCTTTCTCATGGCTGTTGGTTTGGTTGTTGTTAAGCCTAAAGATACACAATGGAATATCTGTGCCATTCGACTAATAGCGATGGCTGTTGGTTTGGTTGTTGTTAAGCCTAAAGATACACAATGGAATATCTGTGCCATTCGACTAATAGCGATGGCTGTTGGTTTGGTTGTTGTTAAGCCTAAAGATACACAATGGAATATCTGTGCCATTCGACTAATAGCGATGGCTGTTGGTTTGGTTGTTGTTAAGCCTAAAGATACACAATGGAATATCT